AAGTGAAAACTTTTTTTAATATAATTAATTTGTCTGACGATCGCAAAAGCGTGAAACCCAGGGTCACAAACTCATATCAATCCAACCAAATATGTTAGCTCTATCTCTGATATTGAGCGCTTTCTAATAAGTACCGCGCATATAATATATAAATAATTATATATATATATATATATATATATATATATATACACTTTTCACACACATATATATATATATATATATATATATATATATATATATATACAATGTAACCCGGATATAAGAGAGTTGTCGGGACTGGAGAAGAAGTCTCTTATATCCGGATTTCTCTTATACCCAGGTTTGGTCTATTTTATATACATTAACACAGGCTCTAATTTGGGACCAGAGAAAATCTCTCTTATATCCGGGTTTCTCTTATATCCGGGTCTCTTATATCCGGGTTACACTGTATATATATATATATTTGAATGTATATCAGCTCGATCTTACGTGCACAGATTGTGGTAGAATCCGTTTGTCGATGACTGGTCCAAGTAGTCATTTGAGAGCGCTCCGACGGAAAGTGGCAATTGACTATAAAATCGTAGACGCCCAGCAATTGAAATGTCATATTTGTGGTAAGATATGTGTGTCCAGAAGCGGTTTCATGCGACATTTTAAATTGCATTATAATGTCCCACCCACTGTTGCACCTCATTCGTTCAGCACTTCAGTAGATATTCTCAAAAACATATGTAGTAATGGTCGTACTCGGACACGAGTTCGCAACCAATATATATATATATATATATATATATATATATATATATATGTGTGTGTGTGTGTGTGTGTGTGAAAAAAATATATAAAAAATAGGAAAGAACTCGTTATGTAAATAATCCAAAGTTCTTTAGTTTTGTTTGGAAACATGAGAACATTTATGTTGCGTGTTAGAATCATAATCTTAAATAAATAATTATATATATATATTTGTTGATTTGTCAGGTAGGAGACTTTCTGATGTTATCGGTCTGGAGGGGGGGGTCCCAGCGTGCAGCACCTTTGGAAAGTCCTGAAAACAATATCACGAGTTGACCCAAGCCTTGTTATTGAAAATTGTGTATACGGAACAACTGAGCGACCGTCGATAGATGTTCTAGCACAAGTCATCGTGACCGAGGGTTTGAGTGTGCTGGCCTTGTTCAGATTGTTGATCACGCTAGATAACACGATCTCTCCCAGAAACTGTAAGTAAGGTCTGCTCAGCATAGTTGCAGTATAAACCGCAGGTCGGCTCTGTGAGTGTTGAACAAACACAAATGTGCCTGAACGAGCGTCTGTATTAGGGATTGGCTAGCCGCCCTAGTAGACGGGTATCCTCGACTGCGAAGACGAGTGGCCAGCTATTATATATAATACAAGACTCTTCGGTAAAGTGAATCGAGTTCTCTCAGTCACTGCGTGTTTATCCAAAAATAAATACGCTTAAATTCACCTTCAGGGGTAAAATCTCCGACTGACACCAATTCAGCCGGATTTTGAAGGCAAACGGCAACCGGATGTCTAGCCACACTGATGAGCGAAACAGTCTCTCTGTGGATGACAATATATATATATATATATATATATAACTATATATATATATATATATATATATATATATATATATATATATATATATATATATATATATATAAGTGCGCAGTTATGCAGAAAATAGAAAAAGAACACGTTGGGTGCATAATCCGGAGTTCCGTAGTATTTTTTTTTTATTTTTAAGAAGACAGTGCTCCATACAGAAGTAGAGCTTATATTATAATATTTTTTGTTTAAAAAATATGATTCCTTCGCTACATAAGAGTTCTCATGTTTCAAAAACGAGAGCCGAAACCATCCAAATAATTATTAAAATTCACATCATTAAGTTTCTAAATAATAAAAAATTATTAAACCATAGGCAGGAGTTAACAGTTTTTTGCCGACATCAACAAATTTTTGCATTAAATAATTAGCATAAAAAAATATTATAAATATATATATATATATATATATATATATATATATATGAATGTAGCGTAGCAGTTATTGCGGTAAGTGAATTGGCACGCGAGTTCTAATCCATGTCGAATATACTCTTGGAAAGATTTATATCACCCTCTTCTCCATGCATGGGTCAAATAACATAGCAGATTTGGTTCACTATGCTTGATTGACAACCAGCCTAAGAGAAGGACAACCCTCAATTTAAAACCGGTTTTGCGTTGGGCTGACTATTCCACCGCGTATCAACCTACTTGCTTCGATAACCACCGTACCACCATACGGCCGTATACTCTAATAGAGAAGCCTACAGGGTTAACACAATAGGAAGCGAGTGGTCTAGAACATTTCGTTAAGGTTATTATACGGTGAAATCACCTAAGAAATATTACTTATCGATAGTAATAGGATAAGATTTAAGAAGTCTAGACTCGATAAAGAAATCCAATATCTGTGAAGAAGGACTATTCAATCAATTATCAACAATTTTCCCGCTTAGTCTGCATAAATAATAGTCTGGCTGCCAAATAAGACAAAAAAAAAATTTTTTGGTTTAACAATTCTTTCCAAGGAGATGGAATATATTTTGTGGCATATATTTTGAAAACATTAATTTCAATTTTCCTTAAAAGCGATTTTAAAATTGACTATGATTATTACTGGATTGATTGATATACGCCTTATCAACCTTTTCAGGTTATTTACATTTTTAGATTGTAAGAATGTTTTGGAGATAATAACGATTTACTGATACAAGCCATACAATTTAATCCGTATCTGGGGAGAAGAGGTGGATGCATACATGTCCCAAGGGTATTGCACGTAAATGAATATAAAGAACTCAACTAGAATTGGAACTCGGCTCTTGACTTTTCTTTGTCAAAAAATCCCTAATTTCCGACGGAAACAGGTCTAGTTCTATCTTCCAAAAATAGGAAGAGACATAGAATGATCAGGTAACAATTGGTAGAATTGCGAAAAAGATGCTCCTTGCGACGAATCAGAACAGACGAGTGGTCAACAATAGTAGCCGCTTCGTTTTATGAACAGGGCCCCTTTTAAGCCCTAAAGGACAATGACATGCGGGAAAAAACGAGAAGATTTAATCAAATCTCCCTAGTACCAACAGCAATGCCTCCACCCCTATGGGAAGAATTCATCGCTGGTAACTTTTATTTTCCACAGAGCAGATTAGTTTGACAGAAGGCCACGATAGCGTGACGTAAAATCATGTTTTTATTCTCTCTATGAATTTATGGTCTGCCAGACTGTTCGAAAGGTGAGGACGTTTTACCGGAATTGATATAAAAACAAATGAAATATTTTTTTGGTTTTTGTTTATGTTTTTTTTAATTATTCCACTCCAAGCAAGGCAACAAAACCACTAAGACCCAGGAGGGGGGTACTCAGTATGTAAAAATATAAGAAAAAGGAAAACATTATTAAGGAAAGAAAACAATAAAAGAACATGAATTAAAAAGACAGAAGATAACGATTGACATTGCATTTAAATCTTTGAAGACTAAAGTTGACTGGAAGTCAAGAAGCCGTTCCACAAGCAAGAAATGCAATAGAAGAAACTGTTAGAAACTGATACAAGTCATACTATTTAATCCATAGCTGGGGAGAAAAGGTGGGTTCATACGTATCCCAAGGATATTTGCACGTCAGTGGGTATGACGAAATTCGGCTCGACTCTTGAATTTTCTTTGTTTAAAATTCTCTAATTTTCGACGAAAACGAGTTCAATCTAACAATTAGTAGAAAAGACATAGAATGCCCATCTAACAATTGGTAGAGTTGAGAAAATGATGCACTTCGCGACGAAGCAGAATAAACGAGTGGTCAACAATAGAAGCCGTTTCGTTTTATGAACAGAGCCCCTTCTAAGCCCCCAAAGGACAATGACATGTTAACCAGGATGGGGGAAAAACAAGATTTAGTCAAAGCTCCCTAGCAACTAACAGCAGTGCCTCCACATCTATGGGGAGAATTCATTGCTGGTAACTTTTTTCCATATCTTACGCTCATGCGACACCACACAATAACCCTCTACCTTGAGTGGCTCTTGGGCTTTCGTTGAAGATTTGTAAAAAAAATTAATGGGACGAGAAACTGAGAAAATACGAACTTTATAAGATCTTTAGAAGAAAAAAATTATTTAGGCACGAAACGGCATCACCAGTGGAAAAAATTTATTTTAACAAAATCTACGTGAGCGAGACAAAGCGTGATTTACGTTAAACCCTTGAACACTTGTGTTATTTTTACTTTAACTTTCACGTTACAGAAAATAGAATTTAACTAGAATTCAACCCATTTTTATTTATTTATTATTCATTTATTTATTTGAAGGCTTACGCATTCCACATTGTTTCAGTGGTGAGTAAAGGCGATAAACTGATATAGGCCAGTCGGATATTAATCGTAGGAGATCCGTACATTAACACTCAGACGATGTATTGCATGTGACATGATATACGATGTTTCTCTGGTGTATTTCTGTACGCCATATTTTTTTAAAGCATTTCATCCCAAGCAAGCCTAGATGCTACTAGTACGCAAGGAGTTTACAGAGTGGGAGCGAGAGTAAAGAGATGGCGAAAAGGATGAAGAGAAGGACAGGGAATAGGTCAGAGTATCTGGAGATGTCGATTGGCATTACATTTGAATAATTGGAGATTATAGCTATCAGGGAAACAAGTAATAGGAAGGGAATTCCACAGACGAGAGGTGCGAGACATGAAGCTATTGGAGTAGAAGAGACAGTCACATTTAACCGTTTCGACAGTGAAAGGGTGGGACCGTGATGCCAGCCTAGTAGCACGCTTAAATTCATGCAGTCTGGGAACTAGCGAAAGTAGCTCGTCGGAGCAGTTACCGCGAAAGTATTTGTAGAAAAGACGTCATTTTTACACCCTGTTTGCAAGACTTCTGCTTGTTTCTTTTATTTTTATTACAATTTTAATTGTTTTAGAAATTCTTTTGATGATTCTATGTCGAGATTAGCTAAATTTCTCTCAAGTTAGTTATCGAGTTTGTTGGTAATATAATACGCCTGCTTTTTCTGTTTAAAAAAATCCAGCGGTTATATATCTAATACGAATCACGTTATATCACATCAATATAGATTTAGTTTTCTTTATTACTTTGCGAAGGGGTCCCCGCAGTTCTATTTTGGTCCTGACATCAGCTCGTTGTCCTATTATGTACTTTTATATAACACGCGTATTTTAAGATTGTATCAGTCAATAATAAATCCTGATAGGACTCTTAGTGTTCTTAGGACCGCCTTATTGTATAGGTTATCGTATTTTCCAGATAAAATTAATTGAAAATGCTGAATGTCTTACAATAAATAGAACAATGGTTAGCATAAAAAATAACATAGAATAGTCTTCCCTGAGAGTAGTTTCGCCGAACACCGCCAATTGTCACAAAACCAAAACATTAACCTGAAAACTCGAGTCCTATTCTTAAATAGACCCGTCAGATCGAAATTTTCATGTGGATGTCATGTATAGCACCAAATCCGTTCAGAAATATCCCAACTGTCAGCTGTATAAAACCGCTTCATAAGACCAATAGGGAAAAAGAGCTTTGAGCTAGTAAAGCCGAAGGGTATTGGCAAAGGTCGTCCGTCTTTGAACATTGTGGACTGGCGCTAAAGAATCTCATAACAGAAATCACATCATTTGAGGACAACGAATAGCAGCAACAACAATCAAGACAAACAAACCTCCATCAATACTGGAAAGACCAATAACAGTTAATGATTTTGAGAAAACTATTTTCCTGAAAGAATGTTTTAATAGAAAGCTTTTATAAATGTCAGTCGGCAGTAACGGAATGTTTCCTTATAAGAAAAACGGTGCTGTACCTGCTTAAGGTTTGCGTTTTATTTGTTAATATTTTTGCTTCTCAGTTTCTTTCTTTATTTCTTTCTATTTATCTTTCTTTCGTTTTTACTTTTTTCTTTCTTTCTGTTTTCTTTCTTTCTTTCATTTTTCTTTTCGTTCTGTATTCATCCATTTTGTTAATATATCTGACTTCTGTCTTTCTCCATTTCTGTCTCTCTTTTCCTTTCTTTCCTTAATTCTGCTTTCTTTCGTTTTGTCACGTTTTTCTTTCTTTCAATCTATATCTAATTTTTCTTTCTTTCTGTTTGTCTGTCTGCCTCCTTTCTTCCCTCATTTTTGTCTTCTTTTTCTTTTCTTTCCTTTGTTCGGTCTTATTTCTTTTGTCCTGTCTTCTTTTCTTTCTTACCATCTGTCTTTAATTTTTCTCTCTTCTCTATCTCTCTTTTTTTCTTTTGTTCTGTCTTCTTTTTTATCTATCTATCTATCTATCTATCTATCTATCTATCTATCTATCTATCTATCTATCTGTTTGTCTTCTTTATATTTCTTTCTCTGAATTGTATTAATTCTAGCAATGAGGATTAAAATGAAATTCAATGCATGGAGCACAATTCAGTGGCAACAGGCGATAATAACACAAGTAATAATTCTTTTTTTCACCACCGAATGCAATTCTCTCTGAAAGGAAGGAAGAATTTCTTTCTCATTTTAAAAATCTTTTTAAAGTTAAACGTGATTCGCAGCTGTCTTTTTTTGTGAATCACATTTACCTCCCGCCACCTTTCGAAAAAAAAAGAAGAAATTTTACTGATATTTTACTGCGTACCACGAAAATCACGCGATTTCTCATTGGATGAGACTTAAAATTGATCAGATCTCATGCAGCCGTGATAAATGCCAGGTGGGTTTGAATACTATATTAATGAACAAAGTTTTTCATTTTCTTAAAGGAGGTAACTGGAAAAAAATAGCTCGTAGAACTTTTCTAATTGTCCTCCACCATCCCCGGAATTTTCATTATGGGAGTGCATTTTTTATTCAAAGAATAGCGAAACACGTTAACCAAATTTTAAATTCCGGACTGTTAATAGCATAAACGCCATATTCTCGGCATCTTTTTGGAAAACAACAAACGTTTGGTCGAGAGTAAACGGAACAATTTTTTTTATTTTTTTTTTTACGTCTTTGTGTTTTAACATTTCTGTCTGAATACTTTTTTATGGAAAGTTATCATTATTTCTATTGTTTACATGCAGACTATTGTGCTAATCTTTATTATCATTATTATCACAACGTTTCGGCCGTTATGCCTTTCGGCCTTCATCAGGTACTTGTTTACTGAGCCCTTTGATTAATCTGCAGCAGGAGATCTATCTTGTTCCACTGACAATGAACAGTACCTTTATAGATTAAATAAGGATCTAGGTAAATTGCTCGGAATCAATTGCTCGACAGTAATTTCTCGAACTATCAATTGCTCGAAAGGCAGATTGCTTGAAGTGTTTTCGAAGCTCGAAGCACCACGTAAACTGCGCCGTCTCATGGCACGTCAACGGAGCTGGATATAAAAGGAGCCACAACACTCAACCTTAGCAGGCCTTTTTTTTTTTTCTATATTTGTTTTCTATTTATATTTCAGTAATTTTGGAGATCTCGAACCCTAGAATAAATATACTCGTTCTTCAATTTTAACTGTTCAGTTTACAACAATAAAGTTGTATTATTTTATTTTATACTAAATATTAGAAACAACGTAGCCTTATTTTTTTTAATCACAGGTTTCGAGTAAACTGTCTTTCGAGAGAAAAAATAAGACCTGCCATATAAATGTACTCGTTCTTTAATTCTAACTGTTCAGTTAACAACAATAAAGTTGTATTATTTTATCTTATAGTAAATACTAGCAATAGAGCCCGGCGTTGCCCGGTGATATAGCAGTAAGAGATAGATCAAGTATCGACGATCATAAAGACTGAAAAATAAAATTGACAAAGATTATTGTTTAAGGTTGACGGACACGCATGTCTTAATTAGTTTTTTTTTTTACGAATTGGTCAAACCCAAACTCAAACAAAAACATTGTTTTCAATCGTTATGAGTCTACCGATTGAATAGAATTTTATTATAAACAATTGTCTTGTAAATGGAATTTTTAAAGTATTCTGAATAGTAAAAATAAAGAAAAAAAAGTGTGCAAGACAATAAGAAACACTACCTGCCAAAAAAAAGTGAAGTTTTGTTGAAATCGGTTGAAAAATGTAGGAAATCCGATCCCATATATAAACGAACACACACACACACACACACACACACAAACAAACAAACAAACAACTTGAGTTTTATAATAAGTATAACTCGATATGAGTTGTCCCCCTTTAATTCTCGCGACAGCGATGCCTCTTAATCGTGTTTTCAAATTGATTTCGTGCAAAGATAATTGTGTTTTTCCAATTTTTGGTGCTGTCAGAACCACCGCAAGGTAATTTTACGTAGTCATGTGAAATTTAGTTGAAATCGGTTGAAAAATGTAGGAAATCCGATCCAATATATAAACGAACAGACACACACACACACACACACACACACACACACACACACACACACACACACACACACACAACCTGGGTTTTATAATAAGTATGATTAGAAACAATGTAGTTTTATTTTTTTTAACCACAGGTTTCGGGCAAACTGCTTTTCGAGAAATTGATAGTCCGAGAAATTATTTTTCGAGCAATTGATGTCAAGCAATTGACCGGATACCATTAAATAGAGAGTTCGGTTCGTAATTCCCACACGGTTACTGGGATCGTCAAGTACCTGATGAAGGCAGAAAAGCGCAAAGGTCGAAATGTTATGGTAACAGCAACAACAATGAGGAGAAAACTCGTCCGCATATAAAATAAGACATAAAGTTTGTTATTTTTTTAAACTGATATCCTATTATGCCACACGCGCGCGCAGACACGCACATACACACACGCACACACAAGCACACATACACACACACAAGCACACATACACTTACATATTTGCTTAAAGGCACTATTCAAGTTTGCTAGATCGACGCACTTCATAGCCGAGGCGGTGAGAACATCGGATCTAACGACGATTTCCTCTGTCCAGGGGAACGCAGGTTCAAATCCTGCTGGAGAGCGCATATTTTTCGTTAATAAGATTTCTCGAATTTTCAGGCCAGTAGACGAAATTAAATAAATATACTGTGTAAAAAATAAAGGGTGCTTTTACTCAAATGCTGGTACCCACTAATATAACTTTCAATATATATATATATATCGGTCGTTGGCGACGTCTTCCCACCTATCGATGTCCATGTCAATCGCGCTCATATGGCATGTATGTATGTATGCGTGTGTGTGTGTGTATATATATATATATATATAGTGTTCCAATAACTTAGAGTGATTTTAAATGCGAATTAAGTTTAAGTGTCTAATGATTTTTTCTTTTTCATACAGATTTAACAACTTAAGTCGTTGGCAATTTCAACCATGGAAAGATTAACAATCAAACAACTTGTTAACGTTATCGAAGCCTATTATGAAAATGGACGTTCAAACAGAAATGCATTTCGCGCACTTTGCGAGTTTTTGGGTCAACATGATCTACCAACCGAGAGTGCATTTGGAAAAATTTTTCCTGAATTCAAAGAAACTGGGTCGGTGGCAGATGTGAAAAAAAACCCAGTGTGTTCGTTTACGCCGTTCAGCTGAAAATATTGCTGCAGTGCACGTGAATGTGGCCGAAAATCCTGACACCTCTCTTTGTTACCGCACGCAGGAATTGAACCTCTCCACAACAACGTTACATCGAATTTTGACAAAAGATTTATCTCTACACGCTTATAAAATTCAATTGACACACGAACTGAAAAGTGCTGACCCTCTGGAGCGCCGTACATTCGTCAATTGGGTGCACGAGCAAAGACAATCCGATGAAGATTTTTCCCCCAAAATCCTCTTTAGTGATGAAGCCTATTTTCATCTTGGTGGATTCGTTAATAAACTGAATTTTAGCATTTGGGCTCATGAAAATCCAAGGAAGATTGTTGAGAATCCACAAAAGGTCAGAGTGTGGTGTGCATTTTTTTGCTAGCGGAATCATTGGGTTGTGTATTTATAAATTTGAACGCCCATTTTCGTAATAGGCTTCGATAACTTTAACACGTTGTTTGATTGTTAATTTTTCTATGGTTAAAATTGCCAAAGATTTAAGTTGGTAAATCTGAAAGAGAAAGAAAAAAAAACATTATTAGACGGTTAAACTTAATTCACATTAAAAATCGGTCCAAGTTATTGGAACACCCTCTTTCTTTCTCTCTCTCTCTCTCTCTCTCTCTCTCTCTCTCTCTATATATATATATATATATATATATATATATATGATGTAAATCTATTTAAACTCGATGGGTAAATATATATAATATAAATATATTTATATATATATATATATATATATATATATATATATATATATATATATATAAATGGCCGGCTTCTCTGGACAAAAACTTATATCGATTCCGTGTTTCGCAACTATAACTTCGCTCTTCAGTGAATCTTCTTTTGAATTTTGTAAGCGTGTAGTAATAAATCTTTTGTGAAAATTCGATGTGACGTTGTTGTAAAGAGGTTCAATTCCTGCGTGCGATGACGAAGAGAGGTGTCAGGATTTTCGGCCACATTCACATGCACTGCAGCAATATCAATGAATCAATTCTTAAATAAATCAAATATTGATAACTCAATAAATCATTGATTTATATCGTTCCCGATGAGTGCAGATATTGCTTAGAAACTCGGAGTCGTGAGATAAGTCATTGGACATTTTACAAAATCCTTAAAAGTAGGTACCTCTACCAAAAAACAGAAAGAAAAAAAAGATACCGAAAGGTCAAGATGAATTTTAAAATACGAAAAAAATCTTCCTTCAAGTTTTTATTTTAGCTTTAATTTGACGCTAATAGATTAAATTTAATATTTCCAGTAAGCAAAGTACTTTGATGTATTTCAAAAAATCAATTTAAAACTAATATAAATTTACTGGAAGGATATTTTTGCTAATATCGTCTTTCATCGCAATGTAATTCTCTTTATTAAAAAAAGTCTTCAAAAAATAAAATATACTTTTCTGAAACTTTATTTGAAGAATATTAGCTGATGTGATGTGTAATTAATTTAATTTAAAACAAATATTATTTACTTAAGTTTAAAATCTCGCAGAAATGTATTTTTTAACCCGACAGTAGCCGTGTTGACGTGTTTGACAGCCTGATGACAGGATTAATGTTGTTCTACAGAGACTTTATCTCTAAAACATAATTGAAGAAAATGATGTGGACGTCATTTATTATATAATTTTTAAGTACTCAGTAATCCTAAAAGTTGTTGAAAATATTCTACGTAAACTAATTCGTTGATTTTAAATTTACTGGAGTCATCGCACTTATTTTCTGATAATGTCGTGTATGGTCGCCAGTACTTACAAAAATGGGCACGTATTTACA